GAAATATCATTTGTATTCTTATAAAAAAAATTATATAAAAATATAACATTCTATATTAATGTAAGTGTACAGATTGAATAAATCAAAAATACCGATACTTGCTTAAGTAGCAATCATACCCAAGGTAAAGTACATTACTGTGCTTTATGACCCTGAGGAATGATGTAAGAGCCTGTTTAAGCTAAGCTGTTGAAGGAGGGGAAAGAATATTCTGGAGTTGGCTGAAGCCTGTAGGAATAGGAAAAAAAAAAGTCAATATTTTCTACAACTTTCAGCCAAGAACTGGGATATTTTGGTATTAATTTCATGATGTAATACAAAAATATATCTTTATTAAAAACACAAAGGTAGTTAAATACTCTTTAAATCTCAAACAACTTTCACACTTAATAAGCAAGTGAACAATAGCAAGCATTAAACTTTTTCTGTTATATATTACACATGTCGCACCTATTATGTTAAAAATTCTAGACTGGCTTTTCTAAGTAGTTGTATCCTATTTTTGTATTAGGAACTACTGTAGTTATTTGTTTACAATTTCAAATAATTTGATAAAATATACAGAAATATAGCTTTTACATTGAAAATTCATCTTACCAGTTTTCTGGGCTGTATACAGTATTCTTCTGCTCCACAACATGAAATGTATATACTGGACGAGGCTTAGAAGACAGATTTTTTTCACTTTTGTGCACCACTAAGCCATGAATCACTACACAAGATCCTTTCACAAAGATCAAACAGATATATAATCAAAAACGTTTACATGTTTCATTTTTATTTTTAATAACAATTTGAGAACATTCTATATAAATGTGGGTGGATATTGTTACAAAAGAGGAATTAATAAGCAAAATTTCATTTTAATCATAAATATTCCATAAAGCTGTGAATCACCAAAATGTTAGTGCCAGGAAGAAAAAATAACCTTGTCAAAGACATAAGTTGTAGTATCACTTGCTTTGAAACCATTTGTTTGTTTGCATTTTAAAATATAATAGTTATTGACATGATTGACTTTAAGATGTTATTAAAAGAAAAAAGTCTTTGATAGATTTATAATGGTAATTATTGGTAATTACTTCACAAAAAAGTTAAACAATTTAGTTCTTTAAAATGTACAAGGTATACTTAAAGTTCTTCAATAATATATTTTGGATGTATTATTTTCTTCCTCTTTTTCAATTCAATCAGTACAAAAAGTATTCATAATGGAAAGTAAGTATTTCTAATTTTACTGAAGACGTTGAGATACTAAAAAAATGATTTTGCTCAATTGGTAAGATGAAAAAACAGCTAATAACAAATGGATTTTAATTAGAGCAGTGCAAGGTAATGAATTGGGGTTACCATGTTTAATGTAGACTTGAAGCTATTCAACAGCATGACTAAAGTAAAGGACCTTGACATAGTGGTAAATAAGTTACATGCACCACCTGTTGCTTGTAGTAAAGCTATCAGAATTGAGCGTGTATTTATAGACATTCTGATAAGTCAAAAAGGGTTAATTAGCTCTCTATATACTAATAAGTAGATAGGTCTCACTCAGAATACTGAGCAATTTTGGGTCTCATAATCAATGGAAGGGTATTTCCTTATTGATAAGGGTTCAGAGTAGGGTTACTATGATGAAAGTGTTATCTAACAGGAACAGTTAATATCTCTTAGATTATTTACTCTTAAGAAAAGAAGGGTAGAAGACAATCTTATTTAAGTTTACAAGATTGTCTGGGAGATTGATAAGGGTTCAGAGTAGGGTTACTATGATGAAAGTGTTATCTAACAGGAACAGTTAATATCTCTTAGATTATTTACTC